AAATCCAAAACAATGTACGGCCGTTGCAAGCTGCTAATGGAACTTCAGTTGATTTGGAAGGTAGTTGTAAATTGCTGTTGCAGATTGAGGTTTCGGACAGAGACGGAAACGTGAAACCAGCTGTGATTCCTTTGGACGTCATGGTAGGGAGAACGACATATCCTATTATCTCTGTTTGCAAGTTGACACAACAGGGTTGGGACATGACTTTTGACCAAGACCATGTTAGGATGTTTCATAGGAAATCCCAACATGAGGTTCGTGATTTGTCTTTTTGGCATGACACACCATGGGTTCGTGTTGTTCCATATGAAGGTAATGATGTAGCCCTCAATGTTTTTCCGGTGGTTGCGGATAGTTTTCCAAAGGGGGAAACAGTTTGTGCCTTGAGCGCAGACCAGATGGTGCAGCACAGACTCAGAGGACATCGTCCCTATGAGCCGACTTGCGAGGTTTGTCAGAGTTGCCGTGGAGTAACTAAGCATTCCCGAAAGAAAACCTCAAAAGGAACTGAATTTGAAATTCATGCTGATTTTGGTTTTCTCAACAAGGATTTTGAATGGGTACCTGAATCCAAAGACAGTGAAAGGGGGAATGTGAAGTTTCTTGTTATCCGTGAATCCTACAGTTCAAGCATTGGTTGTGTTCTTATGACTGGTGATCGACAGAGGGATAAACGCCAACTTCAGAAGTGGTTGTTTGAAATGGGTTTATGGGGTAGCAAGGACCAACATTCTCTGAGAGTAATCACGGATGCTGAATCTTCTGTTGGGAATTTCATTGCATCAGCAGGGTTGCCAATGGGTGTTGTGGTTGAACGTGCACCCCCACAAGGGCATCAAGCGAATGGGACTGCAGAGAGAACTATTCGGGAAATCAAAGAGAGTTTGAAAACGTTGCAGTTGGATTTTCAGAAGATGGGATATATACTCTTGTTTTCAGTTCTCCAGTTTTGCAGTGCTGTTTGAACTACATTTGTTTTGCCCACAACAATTTCACGACTGTTCAGCAGTCCAGCCGAACTCCAAGAGACTTGGTGATTGGGGATACAGCCAAGAATCATGCGTTTGCACTGTTTGGATGTAAGGTTTTAGCCGAAGTTCCTGAATCCATCATTGCAAAGAATCCTAATTTGCCAAGGTTTGTCGAAGGGGTCTACTTGCATCCTGAGTTTTCGTCAATGGGAGTTTGGGTTTCTGCAAGAATCCGAATTGGTTCAGAGATGGTTATCCAGCGTTTTGTTGCCAAGTCAATCAAACTTTGCATGCCTGTTGAGATTCTTGATGGTCATGGTTTGTTTGTCAAGTTGGTAGATGAACGTAGTGGGTTACCAGAGGCCCCAAGGTCTTCAGAAGAGGTTTCTGTTCCATTGCCAGCAGACTTGAGATGTCCTGCGACTGGACCACCTGTGAAGTGGCTAGATGAACATGGGGTATCGTTGAAGTGTTCTGCTTGTAAGGAGATAGAAATTAGAGGGACCCGAGGGAATAAGAATCACTCTAGGGACTGTATGGAGCGGTATGAGAATTGGATACGTTCTGAACTCAACCAAGCCAAGGGCTCTGAGCCTTCTGATAGTAAACCTAAGGTGGAACAGGAGGTGAAATGGGAAGGGTCTGGCAAGGAGGTCTCTGTTCCTAGTGGTGTTCCTTTGACCCGTCAAGGTGCCTTGGATTCTTTCGAGGAACTTGATCCACTTGCGTTTGATCCACAGGATGATGTGTTGACTGGACCTGCAACTGAAATCAAGATTGAACCAAAGGTTGAATCCCAGGAGCCGGTGGATGTGAACCTTGGGGGTGGGGAAGGGAGCACGTCCCAGGCTGGGAGTTCTTCTCAGTCTGGTGGTGTTTCTCGACCTGATTCCCTTGGTAGCTACCCTAAGGCATCTGTTGGAGTCAAGCGAAAATGGTCAGAAGAGGATCTCATGATTGAGAGAAGAGGTCTGAAGCGGGAACCTGATGTGGATCTTGCGGAATTGGATCGGGAGGTCAGGGATGACAACAAACGTATTGATGTAAAACCTGACATTGCTGGACTTGTGTCTGGCTTGACATGTGATTCCTCGTTGTCTGAGACCCCCCATCAATGACTTGCACGAAGTGTATGCGTTGGCTTTTCTCACAACTGACTCGGATGACCTCATTTGTCACTTGCCTCTTGCTTCGTTGAAGTTTGACAAGAATGCCTCCAGTTCTGTTGTTTCGTTTGGTGACAAGCGTATTCGGATCTGGTGTCCCAGTGGCTCCATTGATGATTCAACATTGGAGGAGTTGCCTGGTGACTTGACTCTTGAAGGTATGAAAACTGAAATAGGCAATTTGGATTGCATGCAATGTGGTGACTTGATGACTGAGTCCGAGATCGGTGACTTGAGGAAGCAATGCAGGGTTATTCCATCTCGATGGGTGACTACTCGCAAGAACGCGACTTTGGTTCGTGCTCGGATTGTCTTGAAAGACATTGCAAAGCTTGCTGAATCAGCCCGGTCACTCGGAATATCGTCACCCACTCCCTCGAGTGAAGCGTTGTTTGCCATGTTGTGCTTTGCTGGTCAACGAGATTGGCTGGTTGGGGCAGCTGACATATCGGCGGCCTTTATGGCCACGCCGCTACGTTCCCGGAATGTGATTGCCAAGTTGCCTGCAAGCATCACTTCTATGACAGGGGAAGCGTTGTACCTATGGCTGAGTAAAGCCCTGAATGGACTGAGGAGTGCCAGCCAGGAGTGGAATGTGTACTTGTCGTCGATTGTTGATAAGTGCAGGTTGCGTTCTTGTGGTTTGGAACCTTGCTTATACAGCGGTTTGTTGCCTTCCGGTGAACCATGCATGATTCTGTCATATGTTGATGATTTGATTTGTGTTGGGCCATCGGTTGATGCAATTGACTTTGTCTTTGATACCGTTGGGAAAAGTGTGAGGTTGAAAAGAACTGGTTTGATACATGATCATTCGAAAGGGGGACAGTTGAGGCTTTTGGGAAGGCTTATCACTAGGAGGCGTGGTGAGAAGTCTTTGTTGATCTCACTTCCATCTAACTACCTGGATGACACGTTTGCCAGTTATCAAATCAAAACAAACGCCAAAGGCCCACCTGACGTGACTCCGGTCATCGACAGAGACGGTGGTGAAGAACTGAGCATTGATGCTTATGCACGGTTTAGAGCAGCTTTGGGTAAGGTTTCATGGATGGCCCAAACTCGTGGAGACTTGCGTGCATGGAAAGGTATCCTAGCGACTCAGCAGTCAAAGCCAAATCAGTATACGGAACATGCCATGCGTATGCTGTTAAGATACCTTAGAGGTGACATGAATGTTGCAGTTAGGTTTCCAAGTGATTCACCATTGTTGCACTCAGAAGTTTTTCAGGGATCACACATTGTTGCATTCTCGGATGCGTCTCACGCTCCGTTGAAAGCGACCGGACGTCGTGGAATTTCAGGAGGTGTTCTGACTTTTCAGGGATGTACGTTGAAAACGTTGTCCAGGCATCAAGCTCTGGTATCACTGAGCTCTATGGAGAGCGAGCTGTACGCACTTCAGAGTGTGAGTCAGGAGATGGTATCTATGGGAAAGATGCTTGGGAGAATTCTGTTTTCCTTCAAGGAGATTGATTCCAGTGAGATTCCAGGAGTTCTGCGAACTGACTCTGAGTCGTCGATCAAACTGTTGAAAGGTTTGGATTTACCACGAAAATCTCGACACCTTGAGATTCGGATTGAATGGCTTCGAGAGAGAGTGAAACTGGGAAAGTTGAAAATCCACTATGAAAAGGGGTCCAATAATCCAGCTGACGCTTTGACCAAATGCCTGGGGAGCTCAATCTTTGGGATACACCGAGCAGCAATGGGTTTCGAGGTTTTGGATGCTCCTCTGGGAGCCATCATGGCCATTTCGAGTGGTTTTGTGTTCATTGAGGTGTGTTGCAAGCCGGACTCCAGCATTTCCAAGGTAGCTAGAAGGTTTGGATTTCTGTACATTGGTGTTGTTGAGAATATGGAAAAGAAAACTGTTTTTGATCAGGTGGTTGATGCATTGAAAGATCTGGGAAGATCGAAAGTTTTTGTCCATGTTTCATCACCATGTTCTTCGGGATCTCCATTAAGGAATTTCAGAGGTGACAACACGACCACTGAAGCGGATGTGATTTGGTTTGATGTTACTCCTCATGTTGCCAGATACATGAAATTGGGGAAATATTCATCTTTCGAGTTGCCATGGAGGAATGCGATTTGGACTCATGCCATGACCACGAAGATTCTGAATCAAGCTCAACACAAACATGTTGCAGCTGTGCACTTGTGCTCAACAGGTTCAATGACTAAGGACGGAGAACCAGTTGGAAAGGTGTTGAAGTTCACCAGTAACAGCAAGCTGATGGTTGGTCGATTGGCCAAGGACTTTGGACAGTGTCACTGCACTCAGAAACATGCTGGTTTGACTGATGTGGATTGGGCAGAAACTGCTTTCTACAATGAGAATCTAGCTGTTTCGATTATTCGTGGTGCTTTGGACGCATTGAGAAATGATGGATAGTTTTGTTGTTGCTGTTGTGAATTGAGGATGACAGGTTTCTTGATTCGATTTTGGTTTTCGAACTTGAGCTGACGAAATAAAGTTTGATCTGAAACGATCGTGCACTAAAACTTTGAAACTGATCTCAATGCGAAGCATGGGACATGTCTTGGACTTGATGCAAACTGTTTTGAACTTGTCTGAAACAGACTGGACTTGACATGCGTTGCAGTTGGAAAGGTCTAAGATCTTTGACTGGAACATGTATAGTTTGAGGTGTGTGTATCTGGTATGTGGGCGGGCCTCGAAGGTCTGTGTGGGTGCCAGGTAGGCAGGTCTCGTTCTTTCTTGCGTTTCACTGACCTTGCTCTGGTAGCTACTGTGGAGATCTGTTTGGATTCTTGGCTTAGGCTTTGTGTTGTTTCGGATTCTAAGTAGCGCCGAAGTAAGACTTACGTTTTATTCTCCTCACTTGCTGAAGCCATGGCTGTGTCTAAGAATGCAGCTGGATATAGTGGTTTGACAGAAGATGAGGAGAAGCGGCTGAAAGCACTGTTGAATAAGGTTCAGCAGGCTCCGAAGGCGTCTGGTGGATCAGCAATGACTATTGCTTCCAAGCGTTTGAGGGGAGAGAGTGATTCGGACTTTGAAGCAGTTGGATCTCCAACTACTCCAAGTGAGCTCTTCCGAAGTGAAGATCGCAAGGAGGTTCCATTGCCAAAGAATTGCACTCTGAAGGAGTGGTCTCACACGGTGTGCCAGCTTCCGAAAGTCAATGGTGAGCCGAAGTGGAACGGAAAGACTTATTCTGAACTGCTTAGGATGGCTATTGACGGTGACATTGAGCTGGACAAGTATCTGGGATTCATTTTCAAGACGTATCATGGGTCCTATGATGGAACTCACAAGTCTCAAGCCGTGGACTTGGCTGGGTTTCTTCTCTATATGGAGTTTGATCTTGAGAGAGAGCCAGCTGGTTCTTGGAAGAGAGTGGTTAAGCCATGATCTCAACGTGACTCCGGTCATCGATGCATGGGCTTTGCGATTCTGAATGTCTCCAAGGGGACCTGATTTATTGGAAAGGTCTATGTATTGAAACAAAGGTATCTGGCTTCGATTGCAATTTCTGTTAGACACATGGTGTCGCTTTGGGTTTTTGCGGTCCAGCTGGAAGAGAATGGGATCAATGTGGCTCCGGCCAACAGCCTTTGATACAGGAGACTTCCTTTCTGTTAGACACTTACGACTTTTCGAGTGGGATGTGTCGTTTTGGGTTTGGAAGCAGCACGCCGAAAGGGGGTGTGAATATATGGTATTGGACCGTCGTGCTTCTTCACGATGTACGCTGGGATTAGACCGTTGTGCACCTCTATTTGGCACAATAGTTCATTGGATGATGCTTCTATGATACTGCATTTGACATCGGTATTCATTGAGATTCTGCACTTTTGATGAGCTGAGAATGTTCTAGAATGGACGGTATTTCATTGGATGCTATTTCGGTGACATTGCGTTTTGACCACTGTCTTTGCTGGAATTTGCGTTTTCAATGAGACGAGAGTGTTTTCGAGCTTTAGGGATTTAGCCGATTTGATCACAGTTTGTTTGGAACGGTTTTGGAAACATTTGAACATTTTCGGAAACGTTCGGAACATTGAAGAAGTATTTCAATGACCTTTGGACCATTTGAAGATGATTTGACATCACGAAGTTGTTCGTCAAATCATGCTGTAAAGATTTCTGTGAATATCATCATTGGATGATATGGAAACGGCAAGTTTTGGTGCAACCAATTTTGTCGATGTTGTTTACACAACATCTCCTGTGAAGCTAAGGTGCTATGGGTGGTTGATTCTTTATTATCCCGTTTGGGGTTTCTCCTCGGTGATGACAAAACACCCCGATGTGATGCCACTGTCGGCAGGTGAAAAGGGGTAAGTCTGAGGGGAGAAACCACAAACTTTGGTTTGTTGGTTTCTTGCCTCTGGTTTGTGTTTGGATTGGTTAAATCAACCACTTAATGGTACCAACTAGTTACACATTAGGTCGGAATCGTTGATTGTTGCGTAGGATGTTGTCTGAAACAACTTTTGATCTGGAATCCGCAGTTGGTACAGCAGTCTTTTGGTTTTGAGAAGTCCGTGTGACTTTGTGTTGCTCAACCAGAGAGTGGCTCGAGTAACAAGAGAATTTAAGACACTTGGTTTTGTGCCTTGTGTGACCTGTTTGTTAACGGCGCGAAAAGGATTTGGAACTCGCTGAGCTGAGTTGAGGGTTCATTAAGATTTTTACACCAGTGCGTTTCAGTCGACTCGCTTTAAATTCGTTTTTATGTGCTTATACCAATTACAGGACCGAGCCTTGGAGCGACATCGGCCAAACCAGAGGAAAAAAAATCACTTTCAGAAGGCTTGAAGGGGGGCTTGAAGGGGGCTTCAAGGGGGGCTTCAAGGATGCTTCAAGGGTGCTTCAAGGGGCCTGACCTTCGTGAAGGCTTCAGAAAGCACGAAGGGAGCTTGAAGGGGGCTTGTCCCAGTTGTGTTCACCAACGTAACCAACTATAAAGTAATTTGGTTTAATAGTTAAGCCCTAAAATTGCCTAGAATGAATGTGCTTGATTTAGGTGACTTAACTAACCATGATCCTCGTGTGGGTCAATCTGAAAATGGATGACGACCATCCCAAGCTGACGGAGCAGGTCACAAATTGAAATTGAGCTTCCCGGGCCTCCGGCCTAGCGCAACACCGGAAGACGCTCTGGTGATGACATCCAACCAATTAATGATGGTTTACATACCCATTGTAATATACATGTATTGCACCATTTAATGGATAACCCTTTTTATGACCAATTAACAATAGTGTTACCGCGTTACCCATTCTATACCCATCTGAATAATCACGATTAAATATTGCCAGGGCACTGTTACAGGCTGGCTAGCCAGGCAACACCATCCATGCCTTGCGGCCTTGCCCATTCCCCCTGTCGGCCCTGTCGGCCCCGTCGCCACTGCCCACACCTTGGAAGCCCAACTGTCACTAAATCAATGATATACATGTGTATATATATATATACATACTAATAGGATAAATGAAATTATGTCTATGAATAGTATATACAGGGTATACATATATATATATGTATGTATGTATGTATGTATGTATGTATATGAATTTATGTAATCACTTATTTTGTTCACTAATACTGTTCATTTGTGTGTTTATATATATCTATTTCGATTTTTTCGTTGGGCGTAGACCTGGATATGTGGGTTTGTGCAATTCAGGGGTCACCACTTCCGTGGATCTACGAGATCCAGTACCCAAGAATGCCATGGAAAATCACCATTGAGTTCGATGGTTTACCTATGAAAAATGGGTGATCTTTCCATGGTGAACTGTTAGTCAGAACCAGAGGTAAACCATACAACATTGGTACTTTTACTGGGACGATGACCAATGATATCTGGGAAAGTAGCTTGGGATAGCTGGATAAGTATGGCAATTGCAATAATGGTGTATCAAGGCAACCACGGTGTCTGATTTTTGATGGGTGTAAACGATTTCCACGACGAGCTCATATGTGCCATGGTCAAAAGATTGGATGAATGTACTATGTTCATCCATCCCGTTTCGTAGGAATCCTTACCAGGCAGGGTGGTGCCCCAGTTATAAGTTGGTGTATAATCCCAATTATGTTCACCAACGTAACTAGCTATAAAGTAATTTGGTTTAATGGTTAAGCCCTAAAATTGCCTAGAATGAATGTGCTTTATTTAGGTGACTTAACTAACCATGATCCTCGTGTGGGTCAATCTGAAAATGGATACCGGATCCCCCAAAATGAATAGATGCAATAAGGCCTGGTGCTAGTTGAGACTGTAAACAGCAGAATCTGGGGATCCTTCAGGGAGTTGAAACATGGGAGTCACAACCCATGAAATCTCTTTGTGAACACCAAAAAATAGTTTGGATTTATGTTCCACTAACCCACGAAGGAAAGCAGCTTGGGATAGCTGGATAAGAATGTACTATGTTCATCCATCCCGTTTCGTAGGAATCCTTACCAGGCAGGGTGGTGCCCCCCGTTATAAGTTGGTGTATAATCCCAGTTATGTTCACCAACGTAACTAACTATAACGTAATTTGGTTTAATGGTTAAGCTCTATAATTGCCTAGAATGAATGTGCTTTATTTAGGTGACTTAACTAACCATGATCCTCGTGTGGGTCAATCTGAAAATGGATGACGACCATCCCAAGCTGACGGAGCAGGTCACAAATTGAAATTGAGCTTCCCGGGCTTCCGGCCTAGCGCAACACCGGAATACGCTCTGTGTTGTTGGGGAATGACTTGACTTGGGGGTTATCCCAGCCCACAATCGTGGGAAAATACGGGGGTGAAGGTGAAGCATCGAAAATTTTAGAGGTCACCAGAGTTTAAGTATCATGAAGTGATGGATTTATGTGTGTAGATATATACACACATATAACTAAGTACAACTAATATAATCTCAAATCCCCTAGTGTACCGGATCCCCCAAAATGAATAGATGCAATAAGGCCTTTGGTGCTAGTTGAGACTTGAGACTGTAAACAGCAGAATCTGGGGATCCTTCAGGGAGTTGAAACATGGGAGTCACAACCCATGAAATCTCTTTGTGAACACCAAAAATAGTTTGGATTTATGTTCCACTAACCCACGAAGGCCTACCCATTGACATCATCTCGCCCAACATGAGGCAAACATGTACCAATGTGAGCCAACAGGGAGCGAACATACGCCTGTACACTGGGCGCGGTGCCCAGAAATTCAACCCTTTTGGCCCACCTCTCCCTCCGCCCTCGTCCATCCTATTCTTTTCACACCCGTTCTTTTCCGTCACGTCTTGCTAACCCCCCCGCTTCTTTTAATCCTCTCCCTCGGCCCTCGTCCATCCTGTTCTTTTTATTCTTTTCACACCCATTCTTTTCCGTCACGTCAACGACTACTACTACTACGACTACGACGACGACTGCTGCTACTACTACTACTACTGCTACTACTGCTACTACTGCTACTACTGCTACTACTGCTGCTACTACTGCTGCTACTACTACTACTACTATTATTGCTACTACTGCTACTACTGCTACTACTGCTACTACTACTCCTACTACTCCTACTACTACTCCTACTACTACTACTACGACGACGACGACTACTACGACTACTACTACTACCCCCTTCAAGCCCCCTTCAAGTTCCCTTCACCTTGAAGCCCCCTTGAAGCCCCCTTGAAACCTCCTTGAAGCCCCCCTTCAAGCCCCTTTCGTGCCCCCTTCAAGCCCCCTTCGGCCCTCCTTCAATACCACCCTGCCTGGTAAGGATTCCATGAAACGGGATGGATGAACATAGTACATTCATCCAATCTTTTGACCACGGCACATATGAGCTCGTCGTGGAAATCGTTTACAACCATCAAAAATCAGACACCGTGGTTGCCTTGATACACCATTATTGCAATTGCCATACTTATCCAGCTATCCCAAGCTACTTTCCCAGATATCATTGGTCATCGTCCCAGTAAAAGTACCAATGTTGTATGGTTTACCCTCTGGTTCTGACTAACAGTTTGCCATGGAAAGATCACCCATTTTTCATAGGTAAACCATCGAACTCAATGGTGATTCTCCATGGCATTCTTGGGTACTGGATCTCGTAGATCCACGGAAGTGGTGACCCCTGAATTGCACAAACCCACATATCCAGGTCTACGCCCAACGAAAAAAATCGAAATAGATATATATAAACACACAAATGAACAGTATTAGTGAACAAAATAAGTGATTACATAAATTCATATACATATAAGAAAAAATATATATGTATACCCTGTATATACTATTCATAGACATAAATTCATTTATCCTATTAGTATGTATATATATAT